TTATTTCTCTCGGATTTGTCACCTTGGCATGTCTCTTTCCAGGTGTATTCAAGGTTCCTTTACTAAAATTGTTGCCTCCTTTGCACGAACAACGCTTTTTTTATTCATTAGTAATATCCATGTAAGACAGTTACCTACCTATTTTTGGTGGTTACAACTTCATAAAAATAACAGCAAAAGAACCCTACTTATAAATACAATTTCTGCCAAAGCTGATCTGAGACGCGCCAAGAGTTTTCACAACATTGCCAACGAGTGCAGATTCCATCCTTGGCTTGCAAGGACTTCTTTACAGTTTCACTCAGTCTTAAAAGCTCTCTGGAGGCTGTGTTTTCAGATGCTTTCTCCAGTAGCTCTTACCTTCTTTCCTTCAGTGTCCCCACAGTAAAACTGCTCAGCTTTGGTTTTGCCCATCACCACAGGGTCGGCAGCCTCGAGGTGGGAAGGGTTGGCCACCAAGGACAGAGTGATGTTTCTGTCGGTCACACGATTAATCCTCCGATGATACATGCCCAGATGATACTTCACATCTCCTGAGCCCTGGAAGCATAAACGACGCCTTTCTATCCCGGGCAAGTGAAATTCAAATGAGTTCTACAGGGATGCACACTTTGGCTGCAGGTCTTGACACAGACCCTTTGTATTTTTTACTCTCAGAACACTGTCCCTTCCCACCACACCGTTCCCTGCAAGATTAGCAATGTCCTACGACCAGGACATCCTGACCTAGGGTAAAGGGAAGTTTTTAGGCCAGACACGGTTTTACTTGCCTCTTGGCAAGGTATTATAGTAATTGTCCCCTCCCCCCACCACAACAGTCTCAAGTGGTCTTCCCTGGCCACTTGCTGTTTCCCAGGTTCCGCCCCTCATAAGTCTTTTCTCAAGAAACTGATGGGGCCAAGGAGGTCTGGGTCCAGGCATGGATGGTCATGCACTCAGTCCAATCAAACTGTGTCAGGCACGAAAACAGGGACTAGAGTTGAAGTCTGCGGGGAGTTCCCTCAAAGAAACAGGTGACTCACCTCATCAGCTGCCTCCAACTTGGAATCAAACTGACAGAAGATCTGCTCGAGCTCCTTCCTGATGACGTTTGCGAGCACATTCAGCCGCCCTCTGTGGCACAGACGGTGGGTGAGTCCCTGCATGGCACTTTCTGGGGTTGGCCCCCAGTGAGACCCCCACTCCAACCCAGTGTTCTACAGTCAGCCACCACCCTTCCTCTTATTGCTGCCCTTGCCTGCTGTGCACGGCACCACTTCAGTGTGCAACACAAGGTGAACTGAGAACCAGGCTGCTACGATGCCGAGCCCTGGTCCTGGGTACCTGGGCGCAGGCTAAAGAAGGGCAGGGCAGAGGGACAGCAGCAGAAAACCAGAGTCCCTGGCTGGTGCATGCTGCATGACCTGGCCTCCCGTGCACATACGGATTTCCCGACTTCGGAGGTCATATGAAGGAGAGAGACATTCCTTCTAGACTAGCCAGGTTCATCCTGCCAGGAGAGACAGAGTGGCCTGGCCAGCGTCACACACAGTTAATGTCAGAATGAGGCACAGCCACAGCTTTCGTCTGTTCTCCTACA